GGAGATCAGCCCTGTGCTAACATCTGCCAATCCTCCTCTTTTTGCTGAGGAAGACTGGCCCTGGGCTAACATCCATGCCTATCTTCCTCCACTTTATATGGGACGCCGCCACAGCATGGCTTGACAAGCAGTGCGTCCGTGCGCGCCCGGGATCCAAACCTGCGAACCCCGGCCTGGCGCAGCAGAGTGCCCGCACTTAACCGTTTGCGCCACCGGCCCGGCCCCTCTCCATTTATTCTTTCACCAAGTCCTGCCTAATTCTTTCTGTACTGTAATTTAATTTGCTAATGTTTGTAGCCACTGGCACCATATTTAAAGCTCTGATTACTTTATTTTTATATTAAATTCATAAATTATTGAAGCAGAAAGAAAGTTTAATTGAGTTAATTTAGTCCACTCTTTTTTTTTTATAGTTGAAAAAATGGATACTCTGGTTAAATGACTTGTCTTAGGTCACACAACTAATGAGGAGCTAATGTTAGAGTTCTTTGCTCTCAACATTTAATACACCTTCCCAGTCTAGCATTCTTCTTAAAAATTTATTAAAAAAATTTTTTGGTCAAAGTTTTGCATATCTAGTTAAGAGTGAGCTAGTTCTGCGAGGTTGGATAAGATAAATAGTATTTCTTAGCTACCCACCCTCTTTTTCCCCTTTCCTGAAGGCAACTATACTACTTGGAATTCTTTTAGCCAATTAAAAAATACATATTTACCTCCGTGTGTCTGAAGAACATATTGGAAGAATGCATGCTTGCTGATTTTTTTTAGTTTTAAGCGTATTTATTGATTTCCTGCAGTGAAAAGGTATGGAAGATAAGGATTAGCTTTCTCTTCTCCCCTCACTGCGCCTGCCTCCCCACGTTTTAGCTTCTCCATCCTTCTAATACAGTTTTATTACAGTTTTGGTTAAATTAATATTTAGTTTATCATTATGCTCCTATATGCTATTTATAGTGTCAGGTGGTAAATTATAAATACTTTTCCTTTCTCAAACAACTTTTGGTTTTCCTTGGCAATGTTGTATGACTTTTTTTTTAAATATATTAATCACCAATTTAGCCTCAAACTTTTAGCCAGTTGCATGTTCAGCTGTTCCATCAGCTGTATCTTTTTGGAGAAATCTTTCCCAGTGTCTGTCTGGACTGCTTGCCCTCCCTGCTGGGAACACGGTTGTCTGCTGGGATCCCGGGGTTCTTTTTGCCTCTCTCCTGCACTGGCTCTCCTGCTCCTGTTTGCTCTCTTGTCTTCTTGTCGCTCTCCCTCTTGTCTTAGTGGGGCCCTGGTTCCACGGGTTTCCTGTGAGGAGGCTGTGTGGGAGGTCAGTCTTTTGAGGCTCTCTCTGCTCTGCATTGATAATGTAGCTGAGTATGGATTTCTGGTTGGAAATCATTTTTCTTCGGTATTAGTCTGCTAATTATTCCTGTGCCCTTTTAAATAGTATCCTGTGTTATTTAATGGATGCTTTATCCTTTATCTTTCTGAAGATATCAATTATTTTTTTTATGTTGTCTTTTTATTGTATAGTCTTTCCTCCAACTTGCATTTTTCTGTTGTTTTGCCCTCTGCCTTTCATGATAGAGGCTTTCCTGAGATGTCGGGTAATCCTTGGTTTTCGTTCATATTTAAAAGGATACACACACACAACACGTAGAGTTGAATCATATGAAATGGCTGTCTTTCCCAGCTCTGTGCTGTCTTTGAACATACTTAGCTCTCAGGTCTTCATTTCTAAATAACATCCTCCACTGAAAGGAAGCAGGGCTCCTTAGAGAAATGGCTGATTTCAGAGCTGGGGCAGAGAACGTGCAAGGTGAATCTGGCACATGTTATGCCAGGAAATAAGGAGATGCTCCAAAAATATGAAAAGCACACAGGAATCTGCTTGAAGGGGCTCCCACTGGCCAAATCTGGGACAACTTGAACATCAGAATGAATAATGACATTAATAAATAAAACAAGAATTTGTGAGTCCATACTGTTAATGAATTAAAGAAGGAATGAGTGAGAAGGGGATATACTTTACTGAAGTTAGAATGTCAACTGATAAATGCAGAAGGAATAGTACATTTACCAAAAAAACCGTCATAACAGTAATATATTATATATTACTATATATATACTATATATATAATATATATATTATATATTATTATATTATATATATAATATATATTATATAGTGTGTGTGTGTGTGTATATATATATATATATATACTGTTATTATAACAGTAATAATTGATTCAGATAAGAATTGCCATAGGTACTAAAACTCTTGGGTGAATGTTTTAAGAACACAATCTCAAAATATCTTTCCCCAGATTACTTAGTAATTAATTACTAAGGGAAAAATGGTTATTTTACGGTGGAGAAATATGGTACATATCTTAACCAAGTGATCGAAATTATCACCAATAATGGGACAAATTGACATCATCTTGTCTCTTTATGTGATGCTCGAGGAGAAGCAAAATGTCATTTATAGAGTATTCCTGCCAGAAATGCATAGCCTGTATTCTTCAAAGATGTCTATGAAATGAAAGGCAAAGAATGCTTAAGAAGTGTTTTAGATGATAGGAAATGAAGGAGACGTGACATTAGGTGTGATACATGACCTTGGATGGAGGTGAAGGGAGATTGATGTAAGGACATTATGGAGCAACTGGCAGCGTTGAAATATGAACTGTATAATCTGTCTTTGACAATTAATGTCAGATTCCTGATTTTGCCATATGTACTGTGGTGGTGTAAGAGAATATTCTTGTTCTTAGGAAATACACAGTGAGCCATGTAAGGGTAAAAGACGTGATGGTTGCAGTGACTGTCAAATGTCTGGGGTGTATGTGGAGAGGGGGTGGTAAAGCAAAAGTGAGACAATGATCAATTGTGAATCTCGGTGAAGGCTTGTGGGAGTTTCTTGTACTGCTCTTGTAATTGTTCTGCCAGTTCACACTGAAAAGGTTTGTAAAAACAGATTGGACTAAGAGTGGTTGATGGGAGACTGCAGTCATGGGTGGGGCTCATTGGCCGTGCACTTCAAGCAGAGTGACTCGTTGAGTTCCTTTGGTTAGGAAGTCGCCAGTGTCAGTATTTTCAGGTCTTTTTTTCTTGAGGTCAGTCAGCTGGGAATGTCAGAGCCTCGGGGGAGCATCTGGCTGGGGTGGGGTGGCAGTTGGGTGTGCCTGTCTGTGCAGCCATTCTGCGGTTCACACAGTCCCTCTGTCTGTGGTGTGGCAAGCCCATCCCCAGCTGTGCTGGGATCTCCCAGTTCAGAGGGCTTCCTTTTTGGATTCCTCTTGTCATCTCCTGGGGTTGGGAGGGGCAGGAGAGGGCCAGGAGAGGGCCAGGAGATTTAGGGAGCTAAGTGTTCGTTAAAGAACTTTTTCAACCAATATTCTTTTTGTTCCCTTACGGCATCCCTTCACTTTTGTTGTCTTCTCCTGATCTTTGTGGATTGTGCCTTTAAAAAGCAAGACAAAACCACCAAAAGAGTCCTTCTACTGAACATTTCAGTGTGTGTTCAAGATACATTCTTTACCCAGGCGTCCCAGTATTACACTTGTACACTCTTCCATTCTGTTTTCTATCACTAATATAGACCCATTCTTTCTCCTAATTAGTCTAAATGAAAAGACTGTGAGCAATTAAACCAGGATCCTTTTCCAGAAAAGTAGATTATGTCTCAGCGTATGTGTTACAACTTAATAAGCACCTGGATTCATAACGCTGTGAACACGTTTGATAGCTATTTTTTCTTTTGACTTCCCTGGGTGGGCGTGCGCGACGGTGAGGCAAGTCGGTAGGTACAACTCTGCTGGGAGCCTGTGACTGACGGACCTGCAAGTGGGTGAAGTGGGTGGTCTTGGCTGGTGGGAGAAATGATTGCAGATTGGCTTTGAGGGTCCTCAAGCTCTTGACTTCAATGCCAAATTGTGTGTGTGCGCACGCATTTTGTGGAGTACACAACTTCATTAGATTCTTAAGGGGATCTGGAACCCCTAACACAGAACGGTTGCAATGGGACAAGAACTACCTGTGACGTAATGTGCTTTTTACACTAACAAGTTAAGCTTGGCATGTCTAAGGACTGTGGTGGCACATGATCTGTTCTTATGATTTAAAGCAAAAATTTGGATGATACATACTTTTTCAAATGTATATTCAAAAAGCATTTAAGTGGTAAAATGTTTTGTTTTTAGAATTAAATATTCTCTTTTTCATTTTAACCTGGGTTTGTTACTGTTTTTGTTGATTTGTTTAACAAGCAGTTAGCTTTGATTCTCTTTATTATCTTATTTGAGAGAAAACGTTGAGTTGAGATCACAGTGTAGTGTGAGTTTTATGGAAAATAGGCATTAAATGAACAGCATGTTTTTTGAGGTGCCTTGTAGACTGCATTCCTGCAGGATTTCTGATTAGTACATTGTCCATAGTTTGAGTCTTTTTCTGCAGTACTGAGTTGTAAATGAAGTGCCTTGGAGGACAGTTTATAGTCCTTTCATGTATAGTTTTTGTGAATTGACATTAGAGACAGATTTTGACTACAGTTGGTACTTTGGTGACCTTAATGTTCTGCTCACAGTTCCTAGTAAAAGTTATGATTGTGTATGGGTGTTACATTGTACTACTTGGGGGCAGTTAGAGGGAGATAGGTTTAAAATTTGTTTTAGTATTTTAAAGTATGGTGCCTTTGCAGTCACCCTTATGTTGGTTAAGACTACCATTGATGTTTTCATAGGATAAAGATAATATGTATTTTTTCTTATTCGCTCACTGATAGTGCCATTATAGTATCTCGAGTGTAGGATAAAAGCTGAGGTAGAGGGGCCACAGTGCCTTTTTTCCTGTTTTCCCATAGAAAAAATTTCGGTTAACTAGAACTTTTCAATCCTCTGAGGTATAGTTCTGTGTGAATCAAGACCCTGAACCAGTATCTTTAATGGCAGCTGTCGTCAGACCAAAAGAGAACATGTTGTGATTATATGCTCTTTTTTCTTTATAGGAGAGCTTGTGTTGCACATCCACATCCCACTTCATTCCTGCTAATCTGCTAATGCAGTAAATTGGAAGACAGCTGTTGCCAGGATAACCTGTAATGGGCAAGGAGCCACAGAGAAGAAAACATTTCTTTTAATTTTTAAACTTGGTTTGAAAGGTAAGGCCATTAAGAGTATCAGGAGTTTCCCTCCATGAGTTCCATCAAGGAAAGCAGTGTTCTGTCGTGAGACCGTGGAGTCTAGGTGGACCAGGGCGAGGTCATCTCTTTGAGCCAGGTATAGCATGGTTCTGTGGCGCTGTGGTGTTTTTAGGAAGTTAAGTAGCAGCCTCTGTCATTTGCTCTGGTGTATCTTGGAGTCTGCAGCACCCATGGGCTTCCTGGGGGGATTGAGCGGGGCCCCAAGGACCAGCCGGGCCTGGCAAGCTGAAGTAGTGTGCAGAGAAAGACTGCTGTGTGTGTGTGTGTGTGTGTGTGTGTGTGTGTGTGTGTGTGTGAGAGAGAGAGAGAGAGAGACAGAGAAAGAGAGAGTGTGTGTGTGTGTGTGAGAGAGAGTATGTGTGTGTGAGAGAGAGGAGAAAGAGATTTGTTTTGTTGTACCAGCCAAAGAACATCTGGCTTCTGGCCAGCCGCCTGACTCCCTTTGAGTCCTAATTGCTATCGCTTTGGAACTCTTTACTGTAACTTTTTATTAAAGGTCAGAGGTTGGCTTTGCATATTCAACTTTTGGCTCAGTTGGCTCTTAATAGAAAGTAGCCCACCAGGGCATTTTTGGAGACATGCACACATCCTTAATCCATTTTCATTTGCTCCATTGTGTCTTGAGGAGAAGGTGGGCATAAACCATTTCATTATCTCCTTTTCACACTGTGTTGTCTCAGGAGATACTATAGTTGTTCAACTGTAACAGGTCTCTGTTTCTGTCCCCAGGCTGATCTTTCCTGGGCAGAATACCACTTTGCTTGTGACCTCCCCTACCTCCAGCCCCTCCTGAATGACTCTCCTCAGCCTTCGGGCCTCCCCTTGTGCTTGCACAGTGAAGCTGCAGCTCCTGATGTTCAGGTTCTTATACAAATCTTTTGACTTTTCCAGCTTTATCTCCATATTGTTCTGCATATATCCTGATGGGGAGAATTCCCTCTAACTATTCATGCACTTCTTGGCACCTTGTCTCGTATGGTGTTTTGTTTTTTTGTCTTGAGTCCTAGCCCTTTTCTTTCTCCACACAGGGGTACATTCTAACCCTGTGGGTAAGGCTTCTTCAGTTTCCCACCTGCCTGACTGAGTGGAGAATTCAGCCTAAGTTGAGGATTCAGATTTAAGAAATCAGTAGTGGGCCGGCCCCATGGCTTAGCGGTTAAGTGCGCGTGCTTCGCTGCTGGCGGCCCGGGTTCGGATCCCGGGCGCGCACCGACGCACCGCTTCTCCGGCCATGCTGAGGCCACGTCCCACATACAGCAACTAGAAGTATGTGCAGCTATGACATACGACTATCTATTGGGGCTTTGGGGGGTAAAATAAATAAATAAAATTATGAAGAAAAAAAAAAGAAAGAAATTTCATG